GTATGTGAGTAGAGTTGTTTGTTGGTTCTCTCCTGTGTAGTATGTGAGTAGAGTTGTTTGTTGGTTCTCTCCTGTGCTTTACGGAGTTTTTCTCCGGGTTCTCTGGTTTTCCTTCCTCCGCAAAAAGCAACTTATAAATTCCAATTGGAATTTCAGCAGTTGAAGAGATGCTGCTAAATCCTATTACATTTTTCGTTTTTATTTTTTATTTATTAAGTATGATAAAGTGATCCTTAACAATTCTCAATTCTGACAGCGAAGATGAAGTTGAAACACTTGAAGCACGTGTCCCACCTCGACTAACTGGCAACGAACAAGGTATTTATTTTACAACTAAACTAATAATGAAGGAAGTGGTGTTAGGGTGAACAAAGCTGATGAACAAGAAAAGTCGAGATTTAAAAAAAATTTCATGGTTCCATGTTTGGAAATGACAACGGAAAAGCTCTTTGTAGTTAAATGGTTCTCTTAGTTTCTTATGCTTGACATCCCACTAAATACACAGAAATTCCATGGCTTAGTTAACTAAAAGAATGTACCCTTCTCAAAAAGAACTTGGAAATACAAAAGAAATCACCCTTCTTCTTGATGGAATTTCTCTCATTTGTATTGTATTTCAATGTAAGCTCTCGTCCAAGACAATTTTGATATTGGAGTTACCACCAGTAAAACTGCATTCAAAATCAAATTAAAAAAGAACTTATGAAATAGCCTTTGAAAAACACTCCAGAAAAATAATGCGGAGGGGGGGGGGGGGGGGGGAGAGTAGAGAGAAACAGATATTGAGATATTATAGTTGTAATTAAGTACACAGTATCTGCCACGCTGTAAACTTATCATGTCTAGATAAATATTATCATTATCATTATTAAGGGTCCATTTGGGAGGGAAGAATGGATTGATGGAACAAAGGAAAGAAATAAGAAATAAAAGGAGAGAGAGAAAGATAAATGGATGGAAGGAGGAATGAGAATAAATGGATCATGGGTACATTGTGGCATGGATTGCATGTGCTCTTATGGTACTGTCTTCTCACCCCGGGGGGGGGGTACTCCCCTATATTTGCTATACGGGTATGTGCCGCCCTATAGGGTATGGTTTTTCGGCTTTTGGGTCTGGGGTAGGGTATCATTTTTTGACATTTTGTCTGGGATAGGGTGTC